TCTTGTTGCTGTCTAGAAACGAGCAATTGTGATCTTGTTGTTACCTAGGAACGAGCAACTGTGATGTCACGTCACACTCATGTTGTTGTTGTGTTGCATAAGCCGCTTTTTCCTCGGCAGTTAGTCTCTTGTGCTTTTTTCTTGTATTTTCACTATGTACTTTCTCTTGTACTTTATTCACTTGTTGCGCAGATTTTCAAAGTGTTATTCATTATTCATATTTACATTCATATTATTTCATTCATATTATTTTTGCCGTCTTGTAATTTGAATCTTATTGAAAATAACATGGCTGAAATTCTTCAAATTACAAGAAGGCACAGGCTTATTGTACATCAAACTAAAAAATCTGAAATATACAAATGTCATTCATGTACATTATGAATATACTTTTCCATATATTATTGCACAATGGTCTCCCAATTTCTTATTTTTGCCGTTCTACTGACGAAATGAAGCAGTGAAATGGACTCTAGGATATATCCTCTCGTCTGAAATTTTTTGAAATTTGGAATGAAAATATTCAGACTACTGACCTGTCAACCCTCACGCATTAGGCGTGATTGTCACGCATTTGCTGAAAAAATAGAAATCACGCATCAATTTAGGGTGTATGATCAAATATCACGCAAGTCATGCATTTTGTTGATATTTTTAAAAATCATTTTTTGTGAAATGCCGACACGGTAAAAAACCGAACGGCGAAAAAAAGCGAACGCATTCCGTTTGGTCTTTGCACGCGATTGCCGTTTATGTCACCCATTTGGTACAAAATATCTGTATATATCACGCATTTGTTTCGAAAATATTTATTTGCATTACTTCCCCTAGCTTTATTTCTATTTGACAATATGTTGTGTTACTTTTTATAACATTTAATTTTACTACTTAATTGAATTGTTACAATGCTTATTTTTTGGAAGTGAAGTTTCCTAAAATTGATAATTGTGTGCAGGAAATTTCCTGTTCTTCCCACAGGAGAGACATAATGATCAATAGACTGAATTCTCAGGAATTTCAGTCTATTGGATATAGACTAGAGTCTATAGCCCGGCTTACTCTACCGAGCTGACAGAAGTCAGCTCTGGGAAGTTGGATCGAAAATCCTTGAAGAGGAAAAATTGAGCCCATTTTGAATAAACGTGCTGAGTAGCGTTTATAACACACTATATATTTGAATCAATACATAATTTATTTGTTGTTACCTTATTTTGATCCTTCAACAGTCTGTTGTTGTAGTAAATCAATGTTCTATCAGACAACAAAACTTTTGAATTTGGATTGCAGCCATTTTAGGTCTCGCGAGATCTCTTGACTTTCGAAAGTTAAGATTTGCTACAAAATAACTCGCGTTAGCTAAATATGAATAGTCACGTGATCCTTTAGCGGCGATGCCCATGCACCTGTAAAGTATAATGCACATGTGCCCACATGCGCAAAAAGTTAAAAATGGTGCGAACCAGATCTGGAATTTCTCCAATTTAACTGCAAATTACACAACAAGTAGGACTTATTGTCACCACGCGTCATGAAAAGGGCAAGTTAAATTCAATTATCTATAAGTTAACTTATTCCAGCGCGCCTGCTGGAAGTTGGAGTAAACCACTTCACAACACGGTATATTTGAACGGTCTGTCAGCTGGCTTTTCAGCCAGCTGTGTTCAGTAAAGCCCGGCTTACTACAGTAAAATTTTAAATGATTAGAACTGAGATAATAAGCAATCAAAGGACCATATTGAAACAGTATATGTAAAAATAGAAACATTTACACATATCCTAACGTTTGTATATTTTAGTTTGTTTTGTAGTTTAGTTATCATATCTGTTAGAGGTGTCACGTTTTCCCGATGTTGGACCGAATTTTGGTCCAGATGCTTCGGTTCGGGACACGGGACAGAAAGGGTTAATATCGGTTTGGTATCGGTATATAAATTCCTTTCCTAAAATGCATTAAACGTGTATAAATAGCGAGGAACATCTCCGATTTCGTTCTGAAAAATAAAATTACATGTAAATATTATCACATACCTCTTTGTAAGGTATTAAGATGTAATAGTGTGAGATGTTTGGATTTACTTTCATAATTAGATTGGTTTAAAGTTAGTGAGTGAATGAATGGATTATTCAGTAATACATGAATGGGTTGATTTCAGGTTGATGATAATGCTTGTTCGTAAATTTCTTCATTGTCGTTCGCAAATCGAGTGAATAGACTAGATGCGAGTAGAAATAATCTTGATTTAAGTCATTAACTATTCAAAATTCAGTCAAAGTGATGTCATATTCGAAATCTGCATGTAAAAGTACATCTGGAAATATGGTTTTGAAAATTGTCTTTCAACTTTGAAACTTTAAATTTTTTTGAAAATATGACTTCTTGTTCGGGTTGATTCCCCATAGACCCCATGTTACAAAATCACAAAAAGTGAATTATCTTTTCTTGTATTGGACAGATAACATTTTCTTTTACTGGACCTATTTTAATTTGCATAACTATTAGTTACATAAGGGTAATATGAAAATTGAACCACACAAATAGATGTAATTTAAGTTAAGGGAACTTTCTACTATACCCGCCATGCTATCTGACCTGAACGAGCCACTTAGTGGTGAATCTGGTAACTACCTACTCGCATCTGCGTTATTATCAGTATGCCGGATGTAGGAAAGGAATTGAAAAATCGAGCCGGCATCTAAGTCGAAAAAGTCGGCAGTTTGGAAGTATTTTGGGACTCCGATATTACAAGGTAAACCAATTGGTGATAGTACACCGTGTGGACTGTGTGAAATGTTGATCACATTCACGGCAGATGCTTTAAATTCGATTTTAATTGACGTTTGTTTATTTCTGAATATGATTTTGAAAAGTGAAACTGTCATCTATGTCTATAATAATCTGCAAAAGGCTAATAAGCCCATATAAAGTAGATATATAATTTAACAGTGCACTGATAGAATTTGAATAGAATATAATTTAAAACCTTAACATTTAAAAATAGATCTATGGTTTACAACCATCAGACATTGCATCATTTTTTAATAATCTGTCCCATGCCGTTCTTAAAGTACCGTGGCCTGAGACCATTTGTACTGTTCCGTACCATACCAAAGTTATATTTTATATTTTGATGCTTCTCTGCCATGTTATTTTCAGAAAAATTAACATGGCTGAAACTCTCTAAATTACAAAAGTCTACAGCTTTACTGTACATTATACATAACTATCTGAAATATACAAAAGTTAGGACAAGTACATATGTTTCTATTTTTTATATACTGTTGCAATATAGTCATTTGATTGCTTATTTTTTTTAAAATTCATAGTAGTTCCAAACATTTAAAATTTTACTGTATATTTGCACATAGCAATCTTTAGAATCAATCTAAATGATGGCTATGTGCAAATATAGTAAAGCCCGGCTGGGGTCTCTAGTAGTTCAACAAGTTTCAACAAAATTCGCAGGATTTTGCGGGACATCCACCTAAATTTGCGGGATTTCGCGGGACATTCAAGGATGTGCCTGATTGGGACTTAATGTTAAAGTACTCAAATCGAACTTTCAGATACTGATTAATCAAATTTTATGCACTTAACTTAAACAAACAATATCACACAATACGCATAGGAATATTATTATGTATTTTCCGTTATATCTTGTCACACTATTGTAAAGATTATTGCATACAGGTTTTAATAATGAATTAGTGATTACGAAATTCAGTGTAAGGCACTGACAACTTTTGTAATACTTTTAGATGAAGTTTGAGAGACTGGGAAATTATTAACATCAAAAAGTGGCGACATATTGTTCAAGTCATTAACAAAAAAAGTGAACGGCATTTGGTGTCTGTAACAAAATCTTACAAATGGCATTATTGGTGACATTTTGTGTTTACGCATTGTTGTCTAGGGCACGTAACGAAAAACAGTAATCAGTAATTCCTCCAAAAGCAAGAGCTCTAAATCCAATAGCAGTCCTCGCTGATCTGATGCACTGGGAGTTTTGGCAGCACTTTTCAAATGAAGTAAACTTTACTCCTCAAAAGTGCAAATAACTCACAAGATAATCACAATATTAGCCTGGGGGATTGCAACAATTTTGGAAATTCGCGGAGGTCAAAGCCGACGTTTGTGGGATTTTGCGGGACATTCCAGGTCATGTGAATTAGCCTAATTTTGATCAAAAAAAGTGCAGGGCACTCGACAGCTCTGTACTAAGCTAGAATATGATCCAGTATTCAACTTCAAAATGATGAATAAAAATATTCATGATTTGTTTGATAAAAATCTTTTGATTAAAACTGAATGCAGGTGTATAAATAATGGACATGTTCAGATGAGTCTTTACAAATACATAAACAAATTGTGGCAGCCATTCATCATTGATGTTTACCAACTTAATAGACTAAGTTCACTTTCAGCCCATGTCATACAACATATCCTATATGTGCCAATGGAATTGTCCACTTGTCTGTCCATCTGTCAAGCCTTTGTATCGATTTATGATTTTTGAATTTTAAAAGGAAACTGCCATTTCTCTGATCATATTGGGGAGGGGGTCTCTACACTATTGGTTCCAACACCTAGCTTTACCTCATTTTGGTTGTCAAATATCATATTTTTCAAAGTACACCATTTTAGCCCATTGAATAGTGTCACTTGTTTCAATCAAACAAGTCTGTCATCTGTATTTTAACTCTAGATTCTAGATATAGTAATCAATCAGTCTTGTCAATCACTTCATTTAACATTGTTTCTAGGTGTTTACTCACTGGTCAAAGCAGCAAGTCATTGAGATACAGTCATGCTGGCTGATTTATGTAAAACACTTTCATTCAATATACCTGCATTACTTGTTAATGTCATATTGTTTTATGTTATATTTGATCACCCAACTGGATATTTTCATGCATATTCATTATTTCTATTATGTTGGCTATGTGAATATACCTTACTAGTGTGGTGAGTATTACAATAATACATAATTTATTAGATGAATGTTGCATTGGTAGATTCAGTGTAATGTTTTATCTTTTATCAACTTACATTGGCTTGGTGAATGCCACATCACATGAACACTAAATACAGACATAGCAGTAGTCATAGTCTTAGACTGCAAAATGTGGGAACACCCTAAGGTAGGACTTGTAGATTGAAAATCTGGCTATTTTGTCTTTAAAGGGATCCAACACCTTACAAAACTTCTTAACGGAGAGGAATAAGGGAAAATGCTTGCCGGATTCTGAATCTGTGTATTTTTTAATGATTTTTCACCGTCTTAGAATTTCAATTTTTTCCTTTGAAAAAATGAGATTTGCATTGTTTTCCAATTAGAAAAATGAGTAAACATGAATAGCTCGAAATCTAACGGTGAGATTTTGTTTTAAAAAATCATGGATATCAAGGCTAAATATAGTTATACAGTAAACTTAAAAAAGCAATGCTTGGACTCTTCATATTTACACAAAAAATTAATTAGTAAATGAGGTTTGATATTTGTGAGAATAAGTTGTACGAGGTGCAATGCTCTACAAACACCAGACTACAGGGTGGATTAGGATCAATGACACACATAAAAATTGATTTAAAAATATTTCATGATAATTATCTCAAACAAAAGCAGTTAGCGAAGGATACATTTCATTACACTCAATAATAGTTATCACTTTTGACTATATATACATATCTCATGGGAATGTATTTCCATCTGCTCAAGATATCATATTTTAGCTTCGAAAATCACGATCGTTGGATAATACATTTGTCTCAGAATGATAGGCCACCCTGTAGCTTTCACTTGAAGTGTACCCTTGAGAATAATGAACTTACTTTCAAATTGGTCTTGCTTTTGTGGTGTATGTGGCTTTTTAGCAGATCTGCCACGCTCATTTCTTTCCAGAACCATCTTGTTCAAATGTATCACTATATTATACGCGCATGTATAGACAAATGACATAGATATACATATAAATTATATATTGCACCTGTATTTACTTACATGGGAATATATTCCCTTATGGAAAAATGCAAATGCATGAACATATATTTTCATCTTATACTAGTATATGACTTCAAGCTAACATATTATTTTATATTTATATTTTCATAGTTAGTTTAACATGAATAATAGATCCATGAGAACAATATTCTTTGTTTTTTTTGAATTGATGGGTTTACTGTGAATTCAATAAATTACAATTTGCAAGGGGTAAGTATACTGTATGAGCTAGCTAGTGGCTTTGTATTTTATGTTAGGCCAGGGTAATTAAATTAGTTGTTTCTCTTTCTTCTAATTTTCAAAATTGATATGGGAATGACGGTTTTCATATTACCTTTTTTGTCTATCTAAAATGCTGATGAGGGACGGGATGATTTTTTTCTTTAAAATAACTGTAAAAACAAATAACTGATTTTGAAGGAAATAAACTGAGTTTATGTTGAATTTATATGTTGAATTTAGCCTACTTTACTGGTATACATGTACATGTATTTGATCATATATCAGTACCACGATATTGTCAATTATCCTGATCCATAAAAAGTAAAAAAAAGTGTTTCACACGCCATGGATGCGCGCGAGGTACGGTGTTTTTTCTCAGAAATGGCAGAAAATAAGTGGAGGGGGAATTGGGCCACACACGGGCAAGAATGAGAAACACCTAATTTAATTACCCTAACCTTAGTTCATCCAGTAGTACGTTTTTACTGCAAAGTAGTGTTTTTATATGCAGCTTTATAGCATAAAATATGTTGAATGAAGCATATGGTGTGGATTAGTCGTGTGACACACAAACTGACCAATACATGAGGGTATTAGCTACTTTTCACATAAACCAAAGGAGGACAATGCTTTTATTTCAACTGGGAGCTTACCTCCACACGACTGATCATGTGACCATGGTGGTGGTCCCCTTTAAGATAGGACTAGTAGATTGCATATCTGGCCCTTTTGTCTTTAAGGTAGGAGTAGTAGGCTGAAAATCTGGCCCTTTTGTCTTTAGGTAGAAGTAGTAGGTGGAAAACCTGTTTCCTTTGTCTTTAGGTAGGACTAGTAGGTTGAAAATCTGGCTATTTTGTCTTTAAGATAGGACTAGTAGATTGCATATCTGGCCCTTTTGTCTTTAAGGTAGGAGTAGTAGGCTGAAAATCTGTCCCTTTTGTCTTTAGGTAGAAGTAGTAGGTGGAAAACCTGTTTCCTTTGTCTTTAGGTAGGACTAGTAGGTTGAAAATCTGGCTATTTTGTCTTTAGGATAGGACTAGTAGATTGCATATCTGGCCGTTTTGTCTTTAAGGTAGGAGTAGTAGGCTGAAAATCTGGCCCTTTTGTCTTTAGGTAGAAGTAGTAGGTAGAAAACCTGTTTCTATTGTCTTTAAGTTTGGAGTGGTAGATTGAAAATCTGGCCCTTTTGTCTTTAAGGTAGGACTAGTAGGTTGAAAATCTGGCCCTTTTGTCTTTAAGGTAGGACGGGTTGAAAATCTGGCTCTTTTGTCTTTAAGTTTGGAGTGGTAGGTTGAAAATCTGTCTCTTTTGTCTTTAAGGTAGGAAGAGTAGGTTGAAAATCTGGCTTTTTTGTCTTTAAGGTAGGACAAGTAGGTTGAAAATCTGGCTCTTTTGTCTTTAAGGTAGGACAAGAAGTTGAAAATCTGGCTTTTTTGTCTTTAAGATAGGACTAGTAGGTTGAAAATCTGGCTCTTTTGTCTTTAAGTTTGGAGTGGTAGGTTGAGAATCTGACTCTTTTGTCTTTAAGGTAGAAGTAGTAGGTTGAAAACCTGTTTCCTTTGTCTTTAAGGTAGGACTAGTAGGTTGAAAATCTGTCTCTTTTGTCTTTAAGGTAGGACATGTAGGTTGAAAATCTGGCTCTTTTGTCTTTAAGTTTGGAGTGGTAGGTTGAAAATCTGGCTCTTTTGTCTTTAAGTTTGGAGTGGTAGGTTGTAAATCTGGCCCTTTTGTCTTTAAGGTAGGATGAGTAGGTTGAAAATCTGGCTCTTTTGTCTTTAAGTTTGGAGTGGTAGGTTGAAAATCTGTCTCTTTTGTCTTTAAGGTAGGAAGAGTACGTTGAAAATCTGGCTCCTTTGTCTTTAAGTTTGGAGTGGTAGGTTGTAAATCTGGCCCTTTTGTCTTTAAGGTAGGAGTAGTAGGTTGAAAACCTGACTCCTTTGTCTTTAAGTTTGGAGTGGTAGGTTGTAAATCTGGCCCTTTTGTCTTTAAGGTAGGATGAGTAGGTTGAAAATCTGGCTCTTTTGTCTTTAAGTTTGGAGTGGTAGGTTGAAAATCTGGCTCTTTTGTCTTTAAGGTAGGAAGAGTAGGTTGAAAATCTGGCTTTTTTGTCTTTAAGGTAGGACAAGTAGTTTGAAAATCTGGCTCTTTTGTCTTTAAGGTAGGACAAGAAGTTGAAAATCTGGCTTTTTTGTCTTTAAGATAGGACTAGTAGGCTGAAAATCTGGCTCTTTTGTCTTTAAGTTTGGAGTGGTAGGTTGAGAATCTGGCTCTTTTGTCTTTAAGGTAGAAGTAGTAGGTTGAAAACCTGTTTCCTTTGTCTTTAAGGTAGGACTAGTAGGTTGAAAATCTGTCTCTTTTGTCTTTAAGGTAGGACTAGTAGGATGAAAATCTGGCTCTTTTGTCTTTAAGTTTGGAGTGGTAGGTTGAAAATCTGGCTCTTTTGTCTTTAAGGTAGGAGTAGTAGGTTGAAAACCTGGCTCCTTTGTCTTTAAGGTAGGACTAGTAGGTTGAAAATTAAGGCTAGCATATAATAAACAAGTAATTTATATCAATTACCTTATGCTTACTTCCTTTTCACATGTAGACAGTTTTATAAAATTAAGTAGAATTCAACTCCTTGCAGCCATCATTTTGTCATATGGCCAGTTTCCATCCAGTTTCCAGATGATCCAGTTTTCTGAAAATGCACATTCTCCATCTAAAACTAATTTTTGATGTGTCTTTTGAATGGTTGACTTATTTTTTTCTAAAATGATCAAATAATTATATATTTAGCAAAACATTACAAATTACAACAGTTCGAGTATTATATGTTGATAAATATGTTAGTAGGGGGAGTGAATAGATGTACCAATTTGAAATTATGGAATTGATATTAAAGAGTAAACAATCTCAATGATTCCAGATCAAGACCAAAATAAACCATTCATCTATGTAAAATATAGAATGGCTGACTGTACACGTTCTTATTGGCTGGAATGTGATGCATTATTTTTAATCTACGTTTCAGCACATTCATACAAAGATGAGTAATATCCGCCAGCGTCGCAGCAAACTCTCCAACTCAACCTCCAAGCAGACAAATGACACTCACACGAGAGAAGAGACATTAGATAAAGGAAAGAACAGAGTGAAGAAAACATGCGAAGAGGAATTAGAAACAGTTGAAGAACAACGAGGATTAGTATGGAGGTTCCTGTTAACACCGAGTCTTGTGATTGGTGTGATATTATGTGTAGTACTTGGATGGGTGAACTCAAGATATATGTCAACTCTCCATGAGAATGATATGTGGTTCTCCAATATACAGGTAATCATCTAATCTAGCTCTGAAAGTCTAGAATAGAATAGACTAGAATTCAGGATGTCATAATTAGAGACTTGTGAATTCATAAATTTAAGAATGTCTGTCTCCTATATGCATATCAGGAAATTATTTCACTACCAAAAAGTGGTGACATATTGTTGTGGTCTCCATTTTTTGTGGCGGCGGTTGGTGATTGGTGGTTGGGGGTTGGCACTTCCCATAACTTAACAAATACTGTTTGTACTGATCTCAATTTTTTCAAAATCATCTACAAGTTGTCAGAAATTCAAATCTGACTTTAGATTTAAGATTTGACCTTCATTGACCTTCTCAAGGTCAAAAAAGGTCAAAAAGGTATTTTTTGAATTTGCTTCAAATTGACCAAATTTGTTTTTCAAAAGCATCTATGAGATCTAAGAGGTTCAAATCTGACTTTAGGTTGGAGATTTTTTCCTTCAATGACCTTCTCATGGTCAAAAAGGTATTTTTTCAATTTTCAAATTGACCATTTTTTTAAAAAATTCAAAAATTCAAATCTGACTTAAAAACTCATAATATTGTGAGCAACCTAGTGGTGACATTTTGTCATGTTTATTTGCATATCAGTAATAGCTTCCATAGGATCGATAGGTGATTATTTGCATATCATTAATAGCTTCGATAGGATCGATTGGTGATTATTTGCATATCAGTAATAGCTTCCATAGGATCGATTGGTGATTATTTGCATATCAGTTATAGCTTTCATATGATCGATTGGTGATTATTTGCATATCATTAATAGCTTCCATAGGATCGATAGGTGATTATTTGCATATCATTAATAGCTACCATAGGATCGATAGGTGATTATTTGCATATCAGTAATAGCTTCCATAGGATTGGTAGGTGATTATTTGCATATCAGTAATAGCTTCCATAGGATCGATAGGTGATTATTTGCATATCATTAATAGCTTTGATAGGGGATTATTTGCATATCAGTAATAGCTTCCATAGGTGATTATTTGCATATCAGTAATAGCTTCCATAGGATTGGTAGGTGATTATTTGCATATCATTAATAGCTTCCATAGGATCGATAGGTGATTATTTGCATATCAGTAATAGCTTCCATAGGATTGGTAGGTGATTATTTGCATATCATTAATAGCTTCCATAGGATCGATAGGTGATTATTTGCATATCAGTTATAGCTTCCATAGGATTGGTAGGTGATTATTTGCATATCATTAATAGCTTCCATAGGATCAATAGGTGATTATTTGCATATCATTAATAGCTTCCATAGGATCGATAGGTGATTATTTGCATATCATTAATAGCTTCGATAGGGGATTATTTGCATATCAGTAATAGCTTCCATAGGATCGATAGGTGATTATTTGCATATCAGTAATAGCTTCCATAGGATCGATAGGTGATTATTTGCATATCATTAATAGCTTCGATAGGGGATTATTTGCATATCAGTAATAGCTTCCATAGGATTGGTAGGTGATTATTTTAATCTATTTTTCTGTCCTCTGGAACTTTATCGCAGTATCTTCCAATCCACCCTGTCTTCTTTTTACCTGTTGTCCTTTTTATTTCACCCATAAACAGTTCCTTATTTTATATTGATCAAATTGGAATTGGTTCAAATTTTATATGCTGATGCCTAGGGATAAAGGAGTTACGCTGAAGAAGAGATTTTTAGATTGGCTGCTATCAAAATGGCAGCCATTTTCATAAAAAAACATAATCTTTGATAACTCAAATATTAGGTTTAGGATTTGGTTATTTTAGATGCTGATGCCTAGGGATAAAGAATCTACCCTGAAGAAGAGATTTTCAAAATGGCTGCTAAATATCAAAATGGCCACCATTTTTCGTAAAAAAATGTAATCTTTGATGACTCAAATATCAGTGAATGGATTTTTTGGAAATTGTATATGCTGATGCCTAGGGACACTGTAGCCTTGTATGAGAAAGATTTTCGAAATGGCGGTTGAATTTCAAAATGGCTGCCATTTATCGTAAAAAAGGATTGTAATCTTTGATAACTCAAATGCTGATTGACGGATAATAATGGTTTACATTTTATATGTTGATGCCTAGGGACAAGCAAGCTCTGCTCAATAAGGAATTTTCAAGATGGCCACTAATAAGCAAAATATGTTTTGTTCGGTGGGATTTGCTACTCCGTGGAGTTTGAACAGTCTGTCTTTCTAGTTTCACCTGCGCCGGCATCATTTCACAATAATACCCTTATTTTATACATGATCCCCTTTAATTTTATATTAGTCCCCCATATTTTGCATTTATTTTATCTTCCTTATTTCACCCTAGTAGCCATTTTGTTTTTATTTCAACTTGACTGTTTTTCTAGTTTCACCTGCGTCGGCATCATTTCACAATAATACCCTTATTTTATACATCGATCCCCTTTAATTTTTTTATATTAGTCCCCCATATTTTGCATTTATCTACCTTATTACACCCTAGTAGCCATTTTGTTCTTATTTCAACTTGATTCCCTTTTAACCGCCACTCATTTGCTGAATAGACAAATGAACAAGACTTAATTGTATTGTTGGCTCACACAGTGAGCCTATGGGATCGACCAGGCGTCCGTCCGTCCGTTTGTCCGTCCGTCCGTCAACATTGGCTGCACAAATTAAAACTGCTATTCGGATTGAGTCATATCCACAGTCATTTTATGCATATCCATAATGCCTATTTGACCTATCATCGCCATTTCCTAAGTTCGCCCCGTTTCCGAGAAATTGCTGATTTTGACGTCAAAAAGTCAAATTTTCTGTAAATACTAGACACTTTGTTGAAGTAGAACTTTCAAATAACTTGTAGTAGTTGCTGTATATGCAACTTATGTCCTCTGAAGATTTCAAAGCTCTTGGAATTACAGTTTCTGGTGTTTACTCTATAAAATTTGACAAAAAGTAGGACTTGGGTCATTTTCAGGAAACTTTCTCATGTATTAGTCAATGGCAGGTTTTGTGATTGACAAGTATCTCAAAGTTTGCCTTATACTTCATCATTTCTTGCAATGAATTACATCATTACTAGATTTAAGCATTCCCTACATATTGCTCAATATATGTCAGCATCAAATTTTTACCGTTTTTGAGATATTTGACGTCAAAAAACAGTAAAAATAAGTTATTTTTTAACTTGCTTCAATTTGACCAATTTTTAATCTGAAAATCATCTACAAGTTACCAGGAGTTCAAATCTGACATTAGTTTTAGGATTTGACCTTTACTTGACCTTCAGTGACCTTTGAAAGGTCAAAAAAGTTGATTTTTCAAATTGATTTTTGGATGCAAAGGATAGGTATCGATATGGAGAACTGAATTCAACAATGTTTTTCTCTTAAACCAAACATTCTGTAAGAAAACATTGTATTTTATGTAATGTTAACTGATTGACAACAATTTAATGCAAAAATTATTTAGAAATATTTTATATAACTGTTTTTGTTAACATTTTTTGTTTTTTTAGTGCAATTGTTTTTGCTCCTTTCTACCAATTCTTGAGAATGAAATAAAATGTCTTTCCGAACCTTGTTGGAACAAAATAGCATATACAACATGTTTTTAGCCCTCTCAATATTAAAGTTATACAAAGGAATTTTTGGTTCATTTTAAAAAAGTATTCAAAAAGTATTCAAAACAAACTCCCCCCAAAATAGATAAAAATCAAGAAAAAACTTTTATTTCATTAACAAGATACTTTTTTAAAATCAACCAAAATGTCCTTTGTACAATTACAATATTGAGAGACCTAAACATGTTGTGTTTATGTCTTTTTGTTCCAATGAGGTTCGGAAAGATGTTTCATTTCACTCTGGAAACATGATACCAAGAACAAAACAAGTGTTTGATGTGTTTTTTAAAACAATATAGATGAAAGTATATTTATCTATTTCAAATTATATTGTTACCATTCAAAAGATGGCCATTAAATTGACAATTTGTAAAATTTTCAGAAATTTTTGATGACTGGTTTAAGAGAAACGAATGTTCAAAAAGTTCGCCATATCGATACCCATTCTTTTGGTCAGCTTAATCACAAAAGACCTTACTGAGCTCTGAATAAGTAAAATTTTCAAGGTCAAAGGTCATCAAACTAGGTCAAACAACTGTGCTATCTAAGTTTCTCAAAGTTTGAGACTACAAATCTAAATCAACATTTTTGTTTGAAAGTCAGGATATACATTCCTCTGAAGGTTCCAAATGGTGTGAGCACTGGACCGTGGGTCCTATTTTTTATTTATTTTTTGGATGGACCAAATCATACATTTTATTACTTGTTCTATCATCTATAATCTAACATGCTAATGTAATATAGTAAGTGGAGTTTGTTTTGCCAGCCCATTGCCAGATATGGTTCAGTATATACTGACAAGTATACTTCAGTATATACTGACAGACCTACTTTTAGTCTAGTTTCAGTATACTTTCAGTCAATGTCCCATATTAAAATTGCATTGGCAGGTACATGTATGTTTCAACTATGGTAATTAGATCTACCAGTATGGTTTCAGTCTACTTTCAGTGTATACCCATTGGTATACAGTCAGTCTAATTCAGTATATACGTAAAGGTATACTTTCAGTAAATTTCAGTCTAACCCAGGCACATTTCAATTGAGCTTATGTTTTAGTCGAGACCAATAGCTCTGCTTTCAGTCTGATTGAGTCAAGAACTTGTCTGCTTTCAGTCTAGATCAGTATGGAGGGTTATCTTATGATCCTACCAATCAGATACTTAACATTTAAAATCATTCTGCAGATGAAAAAAAATAATGCATGTAATTTGGATAGCAGTCTTACTTTACATTACATTATCTCATTAATTAGATGCAGGTGTATGAAGACTTCTTAAAGACATACCACAAATGTAAAGTAAAACAGGTATACTTTTAGTCTATTCATTATTTATCAGAGTTTATTTGGTATGCTTTCAGTATACTATTGAAAATCATAAGTAAAACTGGTA